ACACACACCCCCCCACCCCCCACCACGGCACCCGTCCCCAAAGCTCCCGACTAAAACTGCTGCTTGGGTGAGATCCCAGCCTGGGTCAGAACAACATGCCCGAACATGCACGGGCAGCACCTTTGTACGGTTTGCGCTCTCAGAGGAAGATACCACACATCAGCTCACTGTATTTCAGAAAGGATGCCGTTAAAAAAAAAAACAAACAAACAAACCCCAAAAACAAAAACAGAAGAAATACTCACAGACAAAGGCAATTGGCCCCACGCCTCATATGGGGTTAGAGAAGCTTGCTCAAAACATCTCGCACTTTTTGCAAAGCAGTGGGTGTGTAAAAAAAAAAAAAAAAAAAAAAAAAAGGGGGGGGAGAAAAAAAAAAAAAAAAAAGAAAAAAAGAAAAAGTGGAGGCATGCGACTCGAAAAGTCTCTTGTGAAAACCCAGTGGTTTGCTCACAGATACGGTTTCCTAAATAGCTGGCGTGAAATTAAGTGACGTATGATTATAAGACAATTTGAAAGCTTCCTGCAAAGTTGCTGTTTTCCTCTGTCGCTGGAATCGCAGCTTAGAGCCGGAGCACAAAGGGAAGACAGCAAGATCCAGAGAAGGAGGTTGGCAAATATCCCTTATTAGAGGCTAAGCCCGCTCACCTGCTGCCTTTGCTTGGGGAAAGCACAATAGATAGTGAAGTTGGAAGAGAAGTGAAAGCTGGCAAGGGATTTGCCCCCGAAAGCTGCTGCTTTGACTCTGCGCACCCACAGGCGGGAGAGGACGCGGCTCAAATGACACGCGGGGAAGGGAAGCGACCAAACGGGAATCTCCCCAAATCCTTTTTCACCACTCACTTCAGGTCAAAGTCTAAGTGAAAAGAAAGAAGCTCTGTTTAACCGATCCAAGCTTCAAAGCCCTCGACACCGCAAAGAGGGCGTCCTCTGGAAACACCCCCCCCCCCGGCCACCAGGAGATGCCCCTCTCTCTCCGGCACTCCACAAACACCCTGCCAAAACTTCTGCCCAGATCCACTCGCTTCTTCTTCCTGCCCACCTTTCCTAAAACCATCCTCTCTCCCTCCCCTGCAGCCGAGGGAGGGACGCGCTTCCCAAACCAGGGGCCGTCAGCCAACGAGCCGCATCTCTACAGAAACGAGCAGCGCCGTCACCCATCCTTCCCCAAATCTTTATCACAAGCCGGCAAACCCCTCCTCCGGCTGCCGGGAAAAGCTGATGCGCCCGTGGCTCCTTCGGAGTCGGGAAGAATAGCCGCTGGCTAACAAGGGTAGCCGCGGGGTAAACCCGAGTAGGTGGAAGACCGCCCCAAAGAGACGTGCTGGGGGACTGGGAGGCGATGCTGGCTTAGGGGAGGACCACCGCGTAACGCCCACCGCTCACATCCCGATCAGCAAGGGCCGATTCCAGAGCCAGGCGCAGGGGAGCGTGCCGCGGGCTCTGCAGTATGTGGTGGTGGTAGTTGGGGGTGGGTCTTTCTATCCACCGGTTATAAATCGCCCCCAACTTCCCAAAGATCTGCCGATCACTAGAGACTAGAGGAAATTCCTCTGCTCTGAATCAGAGGGATTCCCAGAGGGATTTCTGCTGCACGGGTGGCACCGGGGGGACAAACCCCGGCGTACGGCTGCCCGCACCGAGTCCCAAGAGCCAAAGCTTTGGGAAGAGCCGCAACAAAGGGCAGCGCTTCTCCCACCCGCCTTCCCGGTCTTATCAAGAGATTACTTTTTGCTGAGGGCTCCACTGGAATAAAAGCGAATTACTGAAGGAAAAGGTGCTGCGATTGGTATAACACACTGGAGTCCTTCAGAGCTAATCCCGAAGATTTGGGTGTCACCTTGGAAGAGGGACGGATCCCGGCCAGTTGCACCACGCAACGCGCCTTCCGCAGAATCGGTTGCTAAAGCAGCAGATGCAGGGAGGCAAGGAGTTGAAGAAAACAACAGCAAACTCTGGGAAGAAGCCAGTTGTGAAAAGAAAAACCAAACCAACCCTATTTTCAACGAAAGGACCTGCTTTTGAAAGCACAGGCTAACTTAGAATTGTACCAAAGTCAACGACCCAAGTTGCCTGGGACTGGTTTTGTTTCTTTTAATCCCTCCACGGAGGTTTGCCTCTCGTGGAGGAGAGGTCAGCTGTACAGCACAACACTTCATATATGCACTAGCAGTTAGATTGGTTTCTAAATTAAAAAAAGATGGACTTTTTATATATTGAACATAAATAAAAAAATTACAAAATGGTCACCTTTCTTACAGAACGGATGCAAACTGGATTATGAACGTGCCTCCAGGTGAAGTTGGTTTCTCCCCTGCCCCCACCCCACCCCAATAATAAATAAATAAAATTCATTAAGTTTTGGATCCTTTAGTGGTGCAGATTGGGCGCTCGGACCGTTACTGGGCTTTCTTCCCTGTGCCATTCTTGTCCGCAGAGTTTGTTGAGGTTACCAAGTTTACCGGCCCGTCTGAGTGCATTGAATCTTTGCGTGGCGGCATGCGTTCGTTAATGCGATCCAGCCCTCGGGCTTCTTCGAAGCTGCGGATCTTGTGCTGCGGTGAAAATCCACGAATGGCTGCAGAGAGAAGGGCCAAGAAAGGAGAGTTAGTCTGAGCCGCGGATCCCTGGAGGGGAGCCCTTCAGCACACGCCAGACACGTACAGGACAGAGTCAGGGCAACAGAAAGCACGTGTCTGGCTACTGGAACCACGAGGTGGGTCCGTAGGTGATTTTGGGCATCATGTGGGTACCACAGCACAGCTGGGAAGTTTGAGCTGCGCTAGGTCCCAGCAAGCAAAGTCCGGGATCCGGACCGCAGCGACTTGCTCTGCTCCCTAATGGTTTCTCTTTTAACACAGTTTAGTGGTAGACAGTTCGAAGACCAGACAAGTGCTCAGTGTCCCCAAACAGTGAAATCTCAGGAAACTTTCAAAGCTGAAAAACACCATACTACAAAAAAAAAAAAAAAAGAAACAACCCCAAAAAAACCAACCCCAAAACCAACAACAACAACAAAAAAAAGCACAACCAAAACAACACAAAGACACCACCACAAGGCTTCAACTCCAACACAAACCACACACTGCAACACCAGGAGAGGGGAAGAGCTAGTCCTCGGATCACAAACGCAACGCTTCTTGCATGACCAGGAGACAACACAGGCAGTCTCAGGAGCGACGACATGCCACCAAGGGCAGGCGCATCTCGCTTTCCTCGCTACGAGGCTGAGTACATCATCCCTGCGGTGAGGACAGGGACCAAACGTTTAACTTCTTTGCATTACACGTAATTTAAGAAAAAGGGGTTTGTGCCAAATCTTTTTACAAGGACTTGGCCGGTTTACAAACGAACTTCCTTTGACAACCCAAAAGTTCTCTACTCGGGTATACGGTCCCATTCATCAGTAGCTGAATGGAGCTATCGAGGAGAAAACCTCCCCAGAGAGTAACCTCATGAAATCTGTCATTTCTACACTAAGTGCAGGGAGAAAGCGGCTTCTCCACACCGGGACCAGCTTGGCCCACCTGTGGGGAAGGCGAGGATTACATCAGAGGTGGGCAATCCGGTATTTCCTAGATGATTTTGACCGAGCGTGCTGGCAGCCTTCATCAAATCGAGTCACCCAGGGGGATGAACTCAGCCACGAGGCATCCGAGATCAGATTGCAGGACCCCAACACCAAGGTCTCGAGACACCAGAGCACAAATCGCTCCGGAGACAGGGAACAAAGGTATTGCGCTAAGAAATAGCCCCATTAAGGCTAAAATAGACTCGAACCAGCCCACTGTGTATTTTTTGCTTCCCAGCAGGGGCCCATCCTCCCCCACTTCTGGTGATGCAAGAGTAAAAAGCTTCCATAAGGCTGATAAAGCTCTTTAAAATTAGCGCACGCACACACAGAGATGATTTGAGTCTCTCGCCGGATTCTAGCCATACCTTCCCGTGCCTCTACCGCTTCTACTGTGGCTGCAATACAGAAGAACAGTGGCATGCAAAAATGAAGACAGGAAAAAAAAAAAAAGAAAAAAAAAGAGTGACAGTGAGTGATCTAACATCATCGCTGCGAACGCAAGAGCCCACAGCCTCCCAGCCCCGGTGGAGACGACCGTAATCAAAACCAACTGGCAGGAGGGAAACAAAAAAAAACAGGGTGACAGGAGCTCGAAAGGAAGGCTGAAAGGGGACTCCCTCGGGTGGAGCGTCTCCTGAGCGCTGACACGGGGGAGTCTCCTTTCCTTGCATTCGCCGGACTCGTCACACAGATAAATCCGACGGGAAGAAACAGAGAAGCGGAGAGATGGCTTTCTGCTGCATGCACTGGAGGGCTTGGGCACGCAGGCGTCCCACGGCAAGGACAGCGATAGTCTGGGACTAAGCCATGGGTCTCCACCTGCATTTAGAGCCCCCTCCGCTCCCAGCTCGGCGGCTCTAGGGTGCCCTGGCCACCTTCAGAAGGTAAATGATGTGGAATTCACCCCAGAGCAAAGCCTCAACCACCAAAGCCACACAAGGGAAGTGACCCCGAGGGACGCGATGACTTTTTGGAGCGGTGGGGAAGAGAGGGGCAGTTTGTTCTCCGGGGGAGGGCAGGCAGCAGGAGACACCAGGCTGCTCTGCTCCTGATGCCTTGAATTACAATAAAAAGAATAAAAAAATAAAAAAAATATATAGGCTGATGCTTCAAATCCAGTTTGGCTTCAGCTCCACCTCCTAAAAGTGTTACCAAGCAACAAGGCATCATAAAGCTGAGCAACGTCCCCCTTCCCAAATCTGCTGCAGCAGCTGTCCAAGTTCTGGTAGTCCCTGCCTCAACATCTGGAAGGAGGCCCTTCCCTCGAACAGATCCCCTGCTTTTAGCCTCAAAACACCACAGTTTGGGGTGGTGGTTTTTTGCTTTGGACACAATACAAAGGCCACGTGGTCTTTGAGAGGCCACGGAGGAAGAATGGAGTTATGGCTGAACATCTTTGCTCCAGATTTGGTGACTTGACTCAGCTGATTTTGCTAAGCCGTGCTGCGAAAGGTTGGCAGGAGGCTCAGGGAGGGAAAGGGCCCCCCCATGTTGCTACCTGCAGCCCTGTCTCTCCTCTTTCGGAGTGCACAGGCACCCCAAAAATGGAACAACCCCCTCCTCTCCCCGTCGAGCAGATGGGGACAAGCACGGCTGCCGAAGGAACGCCTGTATGTTCACTGCTGCAAGCTGACGGCGCGGTGCGAAGGGTCGTGCGACACAGGAAAGGGGTGAGAGAAGGAGGCAGGACCGGGGGGGGAAAGGAGCGTGAGAAGGGCACGAAAAAAAATAAAGCAGGGTGCTGCCGAGAGGGAGCACGGGGTGCCGGGAGCAGCAAGGGGTGGGAAGCCTGCAGCCAGGGGAGGAGGCGGCAGGCAGGGTCGGGTAAGGCAGCAGCAAAGGTCCAGCTTGTTTGTCCTCTCTCAGGGGGATGCACAAATCTCTTGTTTCTTTACTGGGGGGAGCTGCCTGGTATCCCCTTCGAGGTTTCCCCCCGCCCCCGAGAGGGGAAGGTGCAGGAAAGCACTGCGGCACGACCTGGTCCCTGCGCTGTGGGCTCTAGGGGCAAAGCTGCGGCACCGCGAGCGAGCTGGCTGTAACAGCCACTTCCCACTCAGGCTCTGTTCCCATGCCTGCAGCAGAACTGGGGCGACAGAAACCATTACGGTTGTTATAAAAAAAGAAAGGGGAAAAAAAAAAAATAATAAAAATTCATACTTCTCTGCAGGCAGAGAAATCCATAAGTTTGGGAGCGATACCGCATCCTCTCCACCCCCAGGAGCGGGCAAGCAATATTTACACGTTTCTCACTTGTGAACTGTTTAATCAAGGCAAGGCAATCCCAGAACGAGCCTTCTTGTGAGCCCGCAGGAAATTACCCAGCGCTGATAGGAAGGGGAAAGCAGGCTGGTGAGATGCCAGCATTCAAAGGCTGGCAGCAGGAAAGGATTAAAACACTAGATTACAGGATTCCCTCTGGGGACACATGTTACTATGATAACTCATTCCCTGACCATCAGCCAATCTCCCTGCCCTGCGAGTTTTAAAGCACGCAGATCGCTAGCTCGGTCCCGCTCTCAACACACTAATAAGACAGACTGAGAGAGGGAGCAAAGTATTTGCCAGCAAGCACAGAAAAGAAACCTCCCAAACCAGATCAAAAGCAGGGGGCCAAGAGAAGTCTTAATACGAAACATGCAGGCCTGGAAGAATCTCCTTCCTCTAACTAAATCTAAGCTTCCTTTGGGATTCAAAGCTTCATAGGGTCAAAATCAGAGGGGTTTTGTTTGACGAAGAACAAACAAGCAGGCATGTTTACTATTACATTCATATATATGCTATCACACAACAGCAGCGGATAGGTGAAGCAGAGGATGCTCATCATGCAGCGTTAGAAGGGAAATAAATGACAAAAACTTGCAGAAACACACAATAAAGCAATACACATGCTTGAGGCAGGGTGCTGTTTGTTGTCTTTTTTTTTTTTTTCCTTCTTCCCCCTCGCATTCCCCTCCTGAAGGGTATGCAGGGACATCTTGGAAGGCTCTCCACATCCCCACCTACATTTCTGCTTTTTCCTATTTCTGAATCCTTCCTCCCCGTGGGCCTGAACCATCTCGTGCGTCCCCTGGCACCCTGAAATAATGCCTACGGGAACTGATGGAATGGTTTAAGGGGCAGCTGAGGGGCAGGTATGAAACTGCAGAGGGGGTACAGCGTTGCAGGGAGGAGGATCGTTCATACTCACCAGTCTGTAGGGTCTGCCTCCCCCCTGAGAGCACTCCCAGGGGCAGCGTACCTGTGGGAGTCAGGCCTTTGAGAGTCAGCACGCTCTCGCTCTCCTCTCTGCAAGTAAGGAGCAACGCATGCAGTTACCGAGAGATTAATGCAACGCTCCGTTATGTCCACGCAAGCGGTGAGCGACACGAAAACTGGAATCTGCCCTGTGCTGACCGCAGGCAGCGCGTGGCTGATCTGCCGGGCAGGGAGCACAACCCTGCCTCGTAAATACGGTGACACATCACAGCTACGGCACGGCCAATGCATCCTGAAAGGGCTAAATATACCTAATCGGCAGCATTTCTGCTGGCAAAGGTGCTGGTGCTTGAGACAGAGGTTTCTAGGAGAGTCTGACCGCCGGGCATACAGAAACCATCACCTCGAGCCTTTGCCATCTGCTCTGAAGCGACAGTCCCTAAAGATTGTTCCCCAATAGGGCTCTGCCTGCCTGGTGTGCCCTGACCAACATCCCCGTTACCCAGACCCCAAATGAAACTCAGAGCCCAAATCACAAGCTGCTTCCTTACCGAAGAACCGAGAAGACACGCGCCATCTTCCCAATGGCTCTAATCTTATTCCTGATGATCTCTTTACGGACTGTTGTCCCACCTTAGGGAGAGAAAAAACAAACACCGGCATGTTTAAGGCTTCCTGCTTTCCAGGCAGAGGTAAAGTCAATATGAAGCACCTGCCCGACTCCAGGAAAAGAAATCATGGTTTACAGATTCACAGCTACACTCTCGAGAGAACAGTGCTGCGAGGATGGCAGTCAGGATGGCAGTGAGAAGGGCAACACCAACGAGATGACACACGGACTTAAAGGTCTAAAGAGAATAGAACCACCAAAGGAAACGGATCGGGTAGGTCTTGTTCGAAGCTCACCAGGTTTGCTCACACTACACAGGATGTAACACAAATGACTCAGCCATGTAGACACAGTTTTGCAAGGCAGAACACTGACGAATCTGACTGCTGATGAACACTGCAGAACACCGGGCTGTGCTCGCCGCGGGGAGGAGTGTCACGCAAGCATCAGCTTTGGCATCCAACGCGCACAGTGAAGGGCTGGCCGGAGCCTTGCAACTCTGCTTTGACCCCACACAAACACAAAGTGAGATATGTGAACTCCCCTTCCGCTACACAGACCGAACAGGAGAGGAAAAAGCATGGAGGGTAACTGAAAACAAACAAAAAAATCGAAGTAAAAGAGGTAACAAATACATCTCCTCTCAGCTGAGATTCCTCACATGGCCCAACTACACATTAGGACAGTACAAGCCAAACCGGAGGTCTAACATGCACCGATGGCTCAGCCATGCACTAAGTGGCTGCATTCAGAAGTCAGATAGAAACGTGACCCCGTTTCTCAAGTTCCTGGAGGAACGCAGAAGGGTTAAAAAACACACGGCGCTTATGTTAAAACTGAAAGGGGATGAAGAGACTGCCCAACTAGTCAGCTATTCAAATCCACTCCAAGGAATCTGGTGGCACAGGCAGTGAAAATTAAGCTTGTAGCAAATTCTAGCTGGGTACCTTTCTGATAGCTTGAAATGTAGTGATCTTCAGGGAGAGGAGACACCAAGAAACAAGTAGATGAAGACAGAGATAGAAGAAACAAATTTAATTTTCATGGGAGGGAGAAAGAAAAAAAAAAAAAAAAACAAAAACGAAATGCAATGGGAGAAGCGGGTTAAAGTCTCAACCTTTGACTGAAGCAGCAGCACCTTGTTGTACCACAACGGTGTTCTGCTTCTCTGCGGGACTGACCGTCCTCCACCCTACACGGATCTGGGCAGGCAGCTCCCCCGGACTCCCCCGTGCATGCTCATGGCCCCACATCTTCCTCTAGGTCACCACCTCGCTCTCAAGTGATCCCCCCAATATAGAAACCGTAGATCAGCTCAGCAGCTGTTCTGTTCCTTTCATGCATAACTTAAAACCAGGGCCAAAAACTGCATTCTGCTTTTTCTGGGGTGACATGAGAAGCCACTTTACAGAGGAGTTCACTGCAACAGATGAGAAGATTGGGTAGATATTTTGGCGTAGAAAATTTTGAATTGGGGGAAAAAATAACCACTTGGGAAGCAGTCTCTGGAAGGAGCAGGAAACCATTCTCCAGAGTAGCTGGCAAGAAGCGTCTGTCGCAGTGAATGTAATTTAATTTCTCTGTGACTGAATAGCAAAGGAGGAAAAAAAAAAAAAAAAAAAAAAATGTTTCCTACCCAGAACTGCACAAGGGTTGGCCAAAAAGGAACTGGAGACCCTGGCTGGGCATCCAGCTATAAATCAAGCGCTGATCACTCTTGAGCTAGCATCACACACCTTCCCCACCTTCACCCCCCACCGTTACCAGCTTGGTCATAACAGTGTTTTTGTTTTTTTTTTTTACCTTCCAATGTCTCATCACCATCTGAAATCAACTCATCATCGGAGCATATGTTGAGGATGTTAACGAGCATTTCTGTGACTGTAAGAAGTACAGACAGGAAGATTAGAGAGGCCTGGTGCGCACGCTTGGCAGACAAGAGGTATTTGGAGGACGAGCTGGACAAGCCAACGATTTCAAGGTCATTTCTACTCTGGAAGTGGAAGCCCAAAGAACACTTTTAGCCGCATACTGCTGGTACCTCGCAGCAGTACCCAGAGCAGACGACGTACTTTACACCTTCTGCCAAGGAGGTGGATGCAGTCCAAGCACATCACAGATGAAACAGACGTGGGGAGCGGGGTGCCAACATTCATGCAGAACAGCCTGGGCCCGCTGAAGGTCCCACCTCCCCAACCCCGACCCGCACAACAGGCCACCTGGCTCCAAGAACGTCAAATCTAGCGGGGGGTGGGGGGTGGGAATTCAACCTTTGGTTCCTCAAAGTCAAAAAAAACCCTTTGGCACTTCGGACCTTGCAGTCATATTCCAAACGTACAACGCTGGGGCGGAATTTAAACTCACCGGGAGATGTAAAAACCCTTTTGCTGAGAAATCGAGGCAAAGTCTCGGTCATATTTTAAGCTGCCTCGCCTCCTTCAGAATGAAATAAGCCTTTAAATTGAAGTGAATGCTTCATTTTGGTGGGCCACAAGCCAACAGGAGATTTTAATTTCTCTGTTGCAAACCCAGAGCAAGTGAAACGTCTCCAAATTCTGAGGAGGGGCTACACCACCCGAGATCAGCTCCATCAGCAATGCAGAAATAGCAAGAAAGGATCGTTTTATCGGTAAAAGCCTTCTAGAACAGGTATAAACGATTACTTTCACAAGAACTTTACCCAGTAATACGCAGATATACCAATACCCCAACTGGTTTCCAGTGCTATCTGATATTAATGAGTTACAACACTCTCCCAACACATTTAATAGCCCGCGGGACAGGTTTCTAACACTCAGGGTACTGTGACCGGTCACCGGGCAACTCTTAACAGAAATGCAGATATCTCTTACCCTTTTCCCCCACAAAAGGCAAGGACCATGTGAAGACATCCATGAAGTTTGGAAGCCAGTATGGATGAGGGGAACAGTTGAACTGCCTGATGTTCATGACATTGTTTTCATACTTCAGTACAGCAGCTAGAAGAGAAAAGGAAAGACAACGCATGTCCGTAGGCGCCGTTGACTCCTGGGAGTTGTACCTGCGCTAATGGAACTTCGTCATCAACCAGAGGTTGCACTCACGTAGCGTCAAACTCCCAGCTCTCCAAAACGAGAAGGCTTAAGCACTATTTTTTCAGTCTACCCAGTTTTTCAGTTACGTTGTTTCACTAAAGCTCATCGCAATAGTGAAGGTCAGTTTAACAAAGCTGTTAAAATTTATGGAAATCAGAAGCAATGAACACAGGGCCAAGATCCAAAGTGAGGGGTAAAAAAACCCCTCACAGTAGAGGAAAACCCCTTTTGTACTCATATGGTTTTAGGGGCACAGCGAAGCTAAAAGCTTGCCTATCCTAGCAGCTTCTCTTTTATGGCAGCATTCATCAAACGTCATGTGGCTGGAAATTAAAGCGTTATTCTAGGCTTTATAACTTGACAGCTAATTGCCACAGTAATACATTAAGTCTTCGAGTCGGAGAAGTCAGCCATTCCAGCTCCCCAGCTGCTGTCAGTTTAACACATAAAGCTCTTTTTCTTTTCAGGCATAAGAACACGACGAGAGGAGAGGGCAGAGCGGACAAGGCAAGGGAAGATGGAGAGGGATTTCCTAAGCACGTGAGGACAGTCCTGACACCCAAACGGCAGCAGAGCCCTGCCCTCGCCAGCCTTACCCTTGTTGTTATAGACATCTAGGTAATTTGGTGCAGAGAAGATTGTGATTAATGACGGAAAGCCTGTTGTCTGGCTCTTCCTGTACATTCGGTACCTGAAAAACAGGTCAAGTGTTAAACACGCTGGGCTTGCTAAGGATAGCACGAACGCAGACAGACGCAGCCTGCCCAGCTACCGGGCTGCAGCACTTACCCAGCGTCCTGGGCTTCGTGAGCTCGGATTACGGATAACAAACTATTGTTCTGCAAAAATTCACAAACTGCAGGATAACTGGGAAACAAAAGAGGAAGTAGATATTAGCATGTAGCACAGGAGAACAGACAGCACCCACGGTCTCGGTTTCAGGAACCAGCCGCTTGCGGCATCCATTCGGTTGGCGTCCAGCATCCCCAAACAAGGCCAGCAACGTATTACATTGTTCAAAAATTAATTGCAAAGCATTCCATTAAACAGACCCCTGGTGCCAAATCCACCCTATCAGTTGAGCTACAAGTGGTCTGTCAGCACAAATGCTTCTCTTTTAGACAGGAAAAGATTATTTCCTGGAGCTCCTGGTACTGTCCAATGCCTGAAAACCATTCAAAAGGCACTCTGCCAGCTAAAAGCAGCATCTCTGCTGTCCGATACCACCACTTCACAGAGCAACATATCCAAAAAGAGCTCAATATTACAGGAGAAGAAAAAACAAACAAGATTTTTGTACATTAGCGCCAACTGAAGACTATTTCAGAGCCAGGTACACTGTAAAGTCCCACTGAGTGATCTGAATAGCGATTTATCTCCCCGGACACCTTAGCGTAAGGGGAGACAAAAAGCTCCAGTCTGTCAGAGCCCCCTAAAACACCACTCACCTGTAGAAATAGGAGCAGCCTCGAACAGTGTTGTGGGCGAAATGCTCCAGCGTTTTCTCATTGCCGTAATCCTCTGATGGATCGGACCAGAGCAGGTCACACATTGGACCAAAGGCTGGAGGCTCCTTAAACCTGTCTAACTGAAAAAACATACACAAAGTGAGGACAACGCTGGCGAAAGCTGCAGCAGCGCACACACACCTATGGTGTGGACACGCAGAGCACAGAAGCCTCAACCTGGAACCCGGGCAGGAATCAAGCCAGCCATTAACCGCACTATTAATTGTAAGCTATGCGAAAGGACCGTGGAGATTACTTACTTTCCTAATGTCATCTAGACACGTGATTTCTGGAGACAGTCCTCCATGAACACACAGAAATTGCTGGTTTAAGAGGGCAGCAAGAGGAAGACAGTCAAATGTATCCATACACGCATCATACACTCGCTCCGAATACTTGATTCGACCTGGAAAGATGGGGGGCAGGGGGAGGAAAAGAGGGAAGAATTGAATTCATTTGCTCATTTACACAACAAAGACTGCTCAGGCTGAAAGCAGAGCTTTTATTTTTTTTAACCTTTTCTTTTCCTTTTTTAAAGGGGGGAGTCATTCATGCATCCAAACCTACACGATATGAGAAGCATTACGCAAAGCTTTGATCAGCCAAAGCGCTGATAAATAAGTTCAAGGAAGCCAACTCCTAAGGTGATACAGAAACTCTATGTCTCTGTCCCACCAAATCGCACTTTGCACCCGTGTATTGGTGAAAATGCTGACGTGGAAAATGCTTGTTGGACACCAAAATAAAAAGGCTTCACAGTAATCGGGACGCGGTCAAGAATATTAATCTCCCTTCAAGCTATTTTCCAGCATACCTGCACTAAGATTAACACAGAAAAGAGGCGAGGCGTTTGCCACTGTAAAAGAAAA